CCGAACGATCGCGAACGCAGGCTGCACCAGTGATCGATGCATTCTCCCCAAAGAACGCCGCCACCGAAGTCGCGAACGCCTCCAGGCCAGCAATTGTAGCGACGTCCTTGGCCCGATCGAGCAGCGCGTCGCGGGCGGCCATCCGCTCACGCCTACGCTACCTCGCGACAATCGCAGGCGCTGGGAGATCCCGCGACGGCTGCCCGACAGGTGTGTCCAGACGCCGCCGACCATGATGCTGCCGACCACCCTCCCCACGATCGGCTCGCGGTGACACGATGGATGACGTGGGTACTCCCCGTCGAGACATCACACTACGCATGTATATGGGAGCACTAAGATGTTCGGCACTAACCTTTGTTCCAGTACGCTGTCCGATGTCTCCTTCCTCGTTTTCCTCCGGCGATGTCTCCCGGCATCGTCGCTCCGCCCCTACAGGCAAAATGTTACGGGGCGGAGCCTTCCTTGGGCAAATATTGTCGTATGTACTTTCGACGTTTAGGCTTCTGTCGTGTTGGTTCGTCGACGCTGCAATTAATGCACATAGCGGAGCTATGCGCGGCGAACGCGATTGTCCAGCGGTTGGCGAGGACTCAGAGTTGGAGAGGGATCTATCATTTGTCTGCAGCCTCCTTTTCGCTCTTCTTCCCACGCTTACCGTTCATTGGCCACCCCACTGGTTGTCCCCCTCGACGATGAGTATTATATGAACGCCGCGCCTTCTTGCCGCCGCTCCTCTTGTCCCCGCTCAGGCTCCGGTGTCGTTGGCCTTGGTTGGATGAGCGGGGACGTACTGAAGCCGCCTATCGGTGGTGATGTGACCGCCACGCACGGTGACGTTATTTCCTCCCCGATGGTCGGGAGGATGTTTCTTTGGGGGAGGCAAGTTGGTGGTGTTGTTTGCCTCCCTACGCCATCTGTGAAACCCGTGGTGAGTGTCGTCGGTAGCGACGTCGCCGGCGAGAATGATATTAGTATCTCGCTTGGGCTCCCCGGTGGACTGCCTCTGGTTGTCGGAGGCAGGCTGGGGAGCATCGCAGGGGGCGTCTTCTCCCATTGGCTGATGTTCAAGCCCCCTGCGACTGGCGACGTCGAGTTGCCTGTCGCTCTGGACGATGGCCGGTCCAGAGTTGACAGGCGTGCATCCACCGCACTCTTCTCGACGGGAGTGCTGGTCGACCTCCTGGATCTTGTGACCACTACCTCAATGGATGTTGTACTAGGGAGTGGTCCGGTCGCCTTTTTCCTTCGCAGTGACAGTCTCCCCACGCCGCCTGGCTGAAGTGGCGTACACTTCTCGGATGAAGATGTTAGTATAATATAATTTCCCTTTGTACGAGGAGGGTATGAGGAGACTCATTCCCGTTTTGCCGTGTCGTCGCTCTTCTCAACCGGCACGCTAGTTGCCCGCCGGGTCCTGGATGACACTGGTTGTTCCTTATTGGCGGGCAACTTCTTCAATGCTTCTTTCCGCATTTTTCCTTCATCACGGTTGGTCGTGGACCTCCCGCCTCCGGTGATGTCCTCTGCGGGGAGAGAGAGGGAGCGCGTGCCGATTTGGCCGCGTTTTGCACGCCTGCTTTTTGGATGGTTTTGACAGGCAACCTAACTACTTCTACCGACACTACACGAGGTTTACTCACCATGGCGGTCATCGGCGACTTACTCATTGCGATGGCCTCGCCGAATCTTCTGGCCTCCTTGGATGTTGCAATAGGCGCGGCGCTCTTCGCGGCAGTCTTACTGCAGGCAGTAGTGGAAGATGAAGCGCTCCTAGTTGATGGGTCCGCAGTGACTGCCGCGTATGAGGGGGATTTGATCGTCGGCGTAGTTGACGTCCTCTCATTA